AGGCACAAAAATAGTAGACATTAAAAAAAGAAGTAGTCTTCTCCCACATCACAAAAATATATATGTAACATTTAATCTCATCATAATTATGTGAAGGACCTCCTACATATCCCAATAATCCATCATTGTAAAGACTCTCCTTCCCATAAGATTATTCCAGCAGAGAATAAATCTGATCTAGAAAAGAAAATTTCCATTCACCATAGCAGAACTGAACACAGAATATTAATTAATTAATTAACTCATAATGTAAAATAATCTGTAGAAAAGCAGAGAACTGTAGGCAGTAACAACAGCTCTCACCTCTTTTGATACAAGTCAACACCAGATTATTAGGTAATCTTAGTGTAAAAAAAACAAATATACTAATACTGTCTGAATATACTGATCAACTCATTATTGCTTTATGTAATGAAATTTCTTTAGATATTTTTCCCACATTTTCCCTTTTAACAGATTTTGTTCTAACAAAAACAAACAAAAACCCCAAATAAACAAAAAACCCCAATCTATCAAAAAAAATCCCCAAACCAAAATCCCAAACTTTTCTCTCTTTTGTCTATTCAGCATCCTTGGAAAAAACCACCAGATGGCAATGCAGTGTTCAAGTATTTCATTTAACATACATATTATAAGGAAAAAAGTCTGTATGCATCAGCACGAAGCTCTCTTTCCTAACCTACTTCCTCTTTGATGAATATTAAATAATTCATAAGCAAAAACTCTATTCACCGCAAGTAAGTGATCAAATACCATTCAACCTGTAAAGAACAGACTCTTAGAAACCCAACTTTCTAAGGATGTAAAATCATATGGATAAAAAAAATAAAAATCAACAATTTAGTTCAAACTATGAAAATGGATAATTTCAGGAAAAACCACTGAAAGGAAAACATTTAGAACTCTTTGTTAACATAGAGTTCTCAAAATACTATCAGGGGCTGCACTGGGCAGCAAATTGCACAAAAAGTATCTCTTTTTAGGCATATCATAAATTTATATGTAGTTTGGCTTCATGCTAAAAAACAGGCATTGTTTCCTGCATTTTTGAGGTTTAAGTCAATTCTTGTAAAACTACGTGCTTGAACGGATCAAAATATATAGGCATTAAGTATTTATTCTTCCTTTGCATCAAGCAGATTGCAGTGATCAAACTGAGGAATTCTTTCATAAAGGAAGACGCTTTAAGATATTTCAAGAAGCTGAGAAGCAGTACAGGAGTCAACTTCCCATTTAGAAGATCATATCTGAGATTTATTACATGCCAAATGAAAGTTATCTTTGCAGTTACTATTACAGGCTCTGAAGCCTCTCCAGAAGTTCATTGAGACTTCACTGAATACCTTAAACACCCAATTAATAAACTCTACATCCACTATGAAGTCAGTGGTTCTAACTGCAAAGTTTAAGGCAAAGAATCCTTTCTTGCTTGAGAAGGTATTAAAATTTGTAGGTGTCATGTATTCAACTATAATTGACAGGAAAATTTTAGGTGTGCTTCAGTCTATTTTAGAGTTTTCATACACGGATTAGGAAGAAGTTTCTTGCATCATCTGTATTTAGTAATGGAATTATTACTACAACTGCTAATCCATCCATTCTTATGTAATACAGTTATTACATGTTCTAAATGTAAAATGAGTTAAAGATGTAAAATATGTTAAAGAATAACTTGAAACTGTTAAGACCCTATCTATAATATTAACTGGAAAAAAAATTTATTTTCTGTCAGAAACACAGTCATACCTATGAGGTAAGTGTTAAACAGGTATGTCACACAGCTGTGAGCAAGCTAATTTAAAGCATGTTTTCTGGTTAGTATAATAAATATTTTATTAATACTGCTGTCTTTATTTCCTACATTATTATATTTAACTGATTAATAGCACAAAGAGGTAGAAAGATTCAAGGACTGCCTTTAAGTGATTTAATTTAAGTGCTCCGCATAATGACAGCTCTCAATATTATAGACCTAATCCAAATGCAGCACAACCTAAGATTTCTTCTATTGTGAAGTTTAACCTTCCTTTCAAACAAAAGAATACTATACTGATCCTAATTGTTTACACATATAGCTAATTATTTGATATAACTTCAGTCCTGAAAGCCAATAAACAGTCAGAATTACTATCCATTTTTAGAAATAAATCCAGAATTTGAGCCCACAAATTATTCCACATTTTTGACTTGCTGTGAATCCTCAGTGACTTTCTGAAGGTAAGTTGTCATGTTCTTGACAGATCAGAGAAGTAGTTGGAAATGTATTTCTAGCAGATGGAGAAAGTCATACTTTTATTAATCACTATCTTTTTTGCACAGCTGATAGAAAATTTACAAAAGAAGAGAGCTGAAGTACTCTTGCAGAAAAAATCCAATTGACAGTATTGAAAAGTCGTATTTTCAAACACAGATATCTTCATAACATTAAATACAGAAAAAATATATATAAAATATATAAATACATATTAAATTTATATCAGTTTATATAAAATAGTAATAGATATGAACATAAATAAATAAATTAAATATATAAAGAACACAAGATCTGTGATTTCAGGTTTGGTACTTAGAAATAAGCTCAACAAAAGTGAATTAGAAGGAATAGTTTACAATTAAGATAAATATTTAGTATATTAATGCAATAACTTCTTTACCTACAATACAGTCGTGTAATTCATAACAGAGAAGGAAATACAGAAAAATAATATATCTCTAAAAGATGGATACTCCATATATATAACACTCCATATTTATAATTATAAGTATAATTTTTTTGTCTATTCATTTTGTTTTCATGATAACATTTCAAGGACAAAGTGAACTCACTGACTAAAGAGATGCAAAGCATGTCTTCTCCACCCTCTGCCTCTGATTAGCATGTTCACATAAAACTAAAGTTTTTTCCAAGTTGATTTTTCTTTCCTACTTCCATTTGTAAGTTGCATTAGTTTTAGGAAACCATTTCTATTTTCACAGTACAGATAAGTCAGTCTTATTTTGTTAAAGCTTTCATTAAAGTAAATAAGGTTTCCTTTGTAGAAACACTTCAGGGTTGCAAGAATAGGCCTGCTGAGCATCCAAGGGAGGAAAAAACGAAACGAAACCAAACCGAACCACAACAAAAGCAAACCAAGCACCATCACACGTTACTACATTCCACCTATGTCTGAGGAAGTTCTTCAAATTTAAAATCACGAAACAACATGACCAAAGGCAGATTTCAGTAAATAAGAGACTTCTGCTTCACACACAGTACGACAAACCGCCCCCAATCTCACACGAAAACATCAAGAACCCCATGTTGTAGTGAAGCATGATCCAAAGATTTTCATTATAGCTTTTCCTTTATATTACAACATCAGGTTGAGAAAGTATTCTATACATCTTGAAAAGTTTTGTATGCTCTTTTTTTTGCTGGACAGCAATTATATTATTTTCCTGATCGGAAATTTAATTGCATATTTACACTTTTCCTTGCACTGGTTAATCAGAGGAAGATGATACAGGCAAAAATTATGAAATAAAATACAAAGACAACCCAAGTTCTTATTATCATCACTTTCAAGTAACAAGTATCTGATGACTGTCATTTTTTTGTTCCTTAAGAATGGATGCCTTTGCAAAATTTACTTTAAGATGATCAATAATCTTTGTATTAAATTTGGATTAAGGGGCCTTAAAGCTAACAAGCATTAAATCTTAATCAAACAGAACACTCTACCCAGAGACATTCAAAGGATATCTACGTTATCTATCTAGGCTTCAACATCCTACTATAAACATGTCAACCCATCACCAGCATCTTTGCTCTGTACACAAATGATATATTTCAGTTTTCTTGAGTTTAAATAACCCCAAATATAATTTTATCTCGAGTCTTGATTGAGGAATACCTTAATTTATAGTAGTACTCCTTATTTGCCTTCCCTCAATCTACTTTTCCAGGCACTAAGATATTGGAGACGTAACTAGTTTCATTATATTGTCACAAATATAATCCATTGAAAATACAAGACATGATTTAAGCTGTTGCCCAAAACGAATAAAGACCTGTGTTCTCCCCAAGCTCCAGCTTACAACTACTACCAACCAAAATACAAAAACAAATCAAAGCCAGACTTCTGGAAGAGCAACAAAAGCTACCTAAAACACCCCAATGCCAAACAGAAAACGACTAGCAACAACAAACCTAATTAATTAATTCCATCGACAAGGGATTAAGACTTTCATTAAGGATTTAGTTTTCTTTAGTGCCATACAGCAAGACATTTTGCAGAAGTAGTATCCTATTTTGTTTTTCGCTATCCAATGAAAAGCCAAAGAGAGGAAAACTAGAATTTTAGGGTGACAGGGAAAAAAATGAACACAAAACTACCCAACTGTCTCAGTACTGTTGTTCTCTTTATTTACATATGAAGATGATTCATCTGTAGTAACACTATGAAAGATGTTTGGTAAACACATCACCCTCTACTTGGTTTCTGAAAAACTACCTCTATTTTCTTCACTGAATTAAACTCTTCAACCATGTTTCAAGTAGCCCTTAAAAAAGCCAAATTTTGCTGTTCACTTTTCATGGGTATTAAATTTAATGTGCTTGATCTATTTTTTGTGTTACAAAAATCAGTTGCTTAAACCAAAACTCTATGATCTTCATTTCCAAAATTATATAGTCAAACAGATAAATCCAGTATCTTAACAACACTGACTGCAACAAAGTCTTTTAAGTCAGATAGTTCTGGGAATAACTTTCCTTCAACAGATGAATGGTTACATTCACTTCACATTACATATCTGATTTTAATACTTTTGGGTTTTTTCACCAAGTCCACAGGACACAGTAGTCTAAAAATATATAGAAGATATCTTTTTTGCTGCAGAATTTGAAATCCTCCTAACAATGTTCCAAACCACCATAATAATATCCTAGTATATACTTGCAAACATTAAGCACCTCTTTCGAAACCACATTGTAACCACAGAGATAAAGATTTACTTACCTGATCCCCTTTTGGTCACAACCTTCAAGCTCTGAGTTAGAGTAGCATACAAGAGAATCAAGTTGGGAATAGGAGCTTTCATCTTCTGTCTTTCTGTGACTGCTTCCTAGAGTACCAAAAAAAGAAAGAAACACTGATTGTACATTAGTGCTGAAACAACCTTGAACTAAATAATCATAACATTGACCTTGTGGGAAAGCTAAATACAGTTTTTCTGAGCAATTTAATGCACTAAAAATTATCTATTTTTTCTTTAAAAAATTATATAAACTAAAATCACCACATAATAAACACATGCACACACCACATTTAACCCTGGAGTTTAAGTTACAATTTTGTCTACACATTAAAATTTCATTGTGTCCCTGTTAAAACTTTATAACAGATCTCCTGGAACACCTAGTTCTTTCTTTTTATCATGTAATCTATTCTGCCCCCACCAAGAGGAAAAAGAAAATAATGCCCTTCGTCATTAGTTTTGCTCCCATTTATTAATATCACAAATTAAGCACAAGATTCACAATGAAATTGAGCACAGATTAAAACCAAATCTTGTCATCTTCTTAGGAACAGCGAAAGGGGAAACATAAAAGTGCACCAGAAGAACCAACAGAGACACTCGTAACTTCCTCTTAGGAGAGCAAGTTCCCATGAGCAAGTTCAAACTAACATATTCACTGCACTAAATCAAAAGTAAATGTTAATTAGAGTGGAAAGAAGTGGAGCATACACTGTGAGTAAGCCTTCACCCCTAAGATGTGAATAAAAGTTTTGCATTTCTATTTTCTTACTCTGAGGATTAAGTGGTATAAGCAGCTGGTGAAAGCAGGGACCAAACATTTTGTTAATTCCCCATATAACTAAGAAGGTGCCATCTACTCATGATGATTATCAGCTTTCTTCTGGAATGGCTGATAGGACTAACATCTAATATTTCAGTGTGTTAAAAAGGGAAAGGGAGGCCAAATCCTCTGTCTAGTCAAACTAGACAGTAACCTATCTGTGCTATCTATATTCATGACAGGAGTTTATGCAAAAATATTCCTGTCTAATGGGGGATGAAAAAGGGCTGGGATCAATGGTTCTTTAATATTATAAATAAGACCCAGATTAAACCAATGTGGTTTTGATATTGACCTCTGTTAATCACAGCACTGGACAGCAACTGAAAAAAATCTCAGAAGGAACCACATACTACAAGCTTTGATTTCTAAAGAGACAGTGAATCTTTTGCACTTTCATTGATAGTCAGGTTACTGACTACCCAAGACATTTTTTGAAAGCAGTATCTTAAAAAATCTTCATCTTAGAAGAGAACGGGTTAGAAATAAGAAACAGTAGGAGTGTAAAAAACACATTATGGAAAGAATTGCTTAAACAATGATGACTTCATATATAATCCATCTTAAAGCTTAACATTTCAAGACATTTCAGAACTAAGCACAAACCCACTGCATTCATTATTGACTTTATTAAAGATGAGAGAGTGAGAGAATATATTTTGACAACAGTTTGTGATATCTTATTTTTATAACAATATTTGTAATCACAGAGAAACACAGAAGCATTTACTCATTCATTGGCTGTGAATAAGCTTCCACATTTTAGCATTACAGGTGAAAGACTGTCATTTGACTCCATTCACATGATATTTCAGAAAATTTAGGCAATAAATTTAGGCAAGAAATTAAATATGAAATATGGGATTGCTAGGAGGTAAATTATGTGTAATGCTAATACTTTTAGTTAAGTTCAAAATTTAACAAAGGACCATGACCACTGGCAGTTATAAATAATATAGATCCTTAGAAATTTAGAAGCTAGAAATAAAGGTTAATTTTCCAGGGACACAGTGAGTAGATACCACAATGTGTTATGCCACATTTTACTGCAGAACTTAGTCAAGCTTTCTGAAATCAAAATCTCATTTCTCAGTCACTGCACTAACTGATGCCGCAGGAAATCCTGAAGCTGATATCTTCAGCCTCCGGGGTACTAGCAAGAGTCAGCTCCTCGCTCTGTGTGAGCCTAATAAATACTGCCCAAAGAGCCACAGGAACTTACTATGCAATTACAAATCCACTAAACAGGTTCTGACTGTGAAAGCATATCCAAACACATCCTTTCTGACCATACATCAAAAGACAATATTGCTGATCACTGTGAAATAAATGCAAATATATACATACGTTTGCATATATGTGTGAGTATGCATGTATGTATGCATTCATTTGTATTTATGGATACTTTTGCAGTGAAACCATGGAGTAGCTATAAAGCTTGATTCTACCAAAGTAAACCCCAGTAAATACAAGAATAAGAAACAGTTCAGTAAACGAAAATTTTCTTTTGGTCTATGCATATATCACTCATTTAAGTTGCAAAATCAACAAGGAGAACCACTATTACAATAGTATAGCAAGAATTTCATTTTAATCACACCACTGTGGCAGCCATTCTCATGCACATTTATTCTCAGAGATTCAGGTCTAACTTAAAGGCATAAGAAAAATTGGCTGCTGCCTACACTGTGGCAAATCCCTCAAAAGTAAAGTCTGCTATTGTCTTTGGAGACACTACAAAAAAATTCCTGCTAAAGGGAAAAAATAAGGGAGGAGTGACTCCCAATAGCAGCCATTGCCTCCTTGCAGCAATGAGCAACACATCAGATCTTACATAGGCTCCCCCCAGAGTCTTCCAACCCTTCTCTTCTGTTTACACTCCCCTTTGTGGAGGAGGAGAAGTTTTTCTAGTCTTCCCTTCATTTTAAAAATCAAATGCTCAAACAATGAAAATGCAAAGAAGTAAAAATCAGTATATAGGATCTAGTGCCTTAAGGCTTTGGATGGTTGGAAAATCTGCCTCATGTTATTCATATGACTGACTCAAAACAGATACTTAACATCTCAAGTGCCTTGTTCTGGGTGGATGCCTCAGAAATTGGCTATTCTAGAAAATGTCACCCTCATGAAATTGGCTGTGAAAACATAATAAGCAAGTCAGAAGAAAATAAAAACGGAACATCCCAAGGGGAATCCCACAACAAGTCGACAGAAAATGCCTTCACTGCTGCAATGACTATGCCTGAGGCCTAGACACTGTAACATATTCAGGTAGCTTTTAAATTAAAAAAAAAAAATTAAAAAACTAAAATAAATGCATAATTCTGAGAAATCAAGTTCTTAGCACTAAATGGACTGTGATATCTCATGAATTGGAAATAGTCTTCTTTCAGCAATGAATTTTTAAGAGACTATTTCACTAGTCAATTAGCTGTAATTTAATTTTTTTAATTACATTAAGAAATTCTGATTTTAACAAGCAGACCAAGTCTGCTGTTTTTTTAAGCATTAGGTAGATAAACATCTTATATACCCACCCACAAAAATTATTTTAATGGTTATTTTTTTTCCGGATTTTTAGTTACTTCCCCTAAAAATCGAAGACAATGTATGGTAGTTATAAACTTAATTGCTGGTTTGCGATTTACATCAGTTTTAGCATGTCTTAGATACTCTGGCCATACAACTGCTAAACACTATAAGTGAATAGTAGACTAAGAAAATCTTTAAGAATGAGGGATTTTTGGTTGCTTTTTCTTTATACAATAGCAAGGATTGAAATATTTTTCATCTTTAAGTAGAATTCGCAACTTCGAACTTTCAGTAATGAGTAGTTTGTTTGCATGAACCAAAACACTGAAAAAAATATTGAATACTTCTGCATAAATATATTGCACATAAATTTTAACTGGGCACATTATTAATTTTTTTTTTAAAGTCTTTTCTGTAGGTGTCATTGTTTAACACAGAAATGCCATAGCATGGCATCTCTATCGCCATGTATCTAATTTTTCAGTTGAGACAGAAGTAGAAATACAGCTGCATCTCAAAAATAACATTCTTTGGGGAAATGCCAAGAATGCTTTTTTTCTTAAATTATCATAAATACTCACTGTGAGAAAAATGCATACATATAGACACATGCTTCCCAAAACAGCTCAGTAGACATAAAATTAACAATAGTAAAGCAGTTCCTCATAAGCCAGGAAAATAAAAAAAAAAATCTGATTTCTTAATTTTACCTATGTTCATTATGAGTCTTTCCCAAAACTTGAATTGAACTTAACTGAAGAAATTTTCCATGGGCTCAGTCTCTTACAATAACTTTAAGGGGTTGATTCTCAGTTGACCTATAAATGCTAGCTGGCTGTCATTAATTTGAAAATAATTTTTCTTCTAACTTTGAAGAATATTCTTTTATACATTTTCAAAATTACTGCATTATCTTTCTCCGTCATACATCCTTCAAAGAAAAACAAAAAAAAATTGCAGGATCCTCTGAACCCTGGAAGATACTTCATGACTGTTCCGTGGCAATGACATAAAAGTGATGGTAAATTTTGACTGAGTAACAAAATTACAAAGAAGCACCACCTGAATACATAAGAAACAAACAAACAAAAATGCCTGTTCAGTAATAGTGTTTTTTTATGTGGCATTTCTTTACAAATACCTGAATAGTATGACATTAGATCCCATAAAGTGTAAAAAATACTGGTATCATATTATTGGTATAATATTTGGTACGTCCAGATCAAAACTCAAGCAGCTTGAAAAAAACCTGCTTTAAATTCCTAAAATGCAAGGAAAAATTAAAATTAGAATCAATGTGATTTCATAAACAAATGTCAATTCATTGTCATGATCTGTCCTAGAACAGTAGAAGAACTCTAGCAATTCTTAAAATGTTGGCTAGAAGAAAATATACCTGTTTCAAATACAAAAGTGTATAAAATAAATCCTTTCCAAAGTCCTAGAAAACAAAAAGATTCAGCAAATCAAATTTTTAAGAATTTATGAGAAACCAGTCAGAAGCACCAGAAAGGTGTTTTGCTTTTTTTTTTTTTTTACTACATTTGTTTTTGAAATCACCCTGCTTCTCCATGCTAAGCAGCATTCCTAAGTTCAAGCAAGTTGTCACTCAGGACAAAAAAACACCAGAAAAACAAACAAACACAAAAGGGAGATAATTTAAAAAGCACTAAGTTTTGAAGGATTGGTGACAGTATTTTAAGCTGTGATAACCAAAAGCCAATACATATAA